AATTAATCTGTTTAGTACCTTCTGCTTACCTCAACTGCATGGAAATAGCCCTACAGTTGCAAAGTTCTGTATCTTCTTATAAATGTACAGATGGCAGACAGCTGATTTGTTCTGTCTTAACTTGAATTACTATAGTAGTGTAACAGGTAGATACTTACCAGTACTTCTAGACTTTGAACTTAATCTTCTGCTAAATGTGGCAATGCCACTAAAATGAATATCTTCATAAGAGTTTAATTACTGTTCTCACCCTTCTTTAAAATTGTCTTGTGCTAGATTTTTGTCTCCTTCCCCCCCCCCCCGAACATTTTTCTGTAGTAACTCAATTATTGAAGCACAAATGTATCAACTTTCCTTGTGCACAGTCTTGTAAATACTATCGAGAAGATTTCCAGAAAACACTATGTGGATGGTAAAACAAACTCTGGCATGCTGCTACTTTTTTTTTTTTTTTTATTGTAGTGTTAAAGTCCACTACCACCTAAACGTTTTCTTAAGTTTTTTTTAAATCAAGACAGTTTATTTTTGTTGCAGTCAGTTTAAGTTTTAGTACAGCCAGGGGACAAATGTTTTAAAGGCAAAATGTGATTAAGCAGCCACAAATGACAGGTGCACTCACTACTTATAGTAGCTAAAACTTTTTTTTTTTTAAAGCTAACTAATTTCAAGCTGGTATTCATTTTTAAAATACCCATTTAATGCATTTTAAGTAAAACACTTCTATAAAAAGATGACTTCTAAAAATAGAAGAAAAGCTCCCACTCATTCAGAACAGAGGTGGCTACAGCAGCAGCACAGATAGATATGGAAGAGAGGCTATTCAGGCAATCAGGCTCTGGCAGTCTAATGCAAACAGAACGTATGTAAGACCACAGGTGGAAAATCAACATTAATCAGTTGTGTTCTCATTTCAGATACAGGACAACCGGCTATACACACGAGGGTGTGGATCTGTGGGCACAGTATTGTGTTTTGGGTGCATATGCACGCATCCAGGTTGCCCAAGGGCTCCCAGCTAGGATTCGGTGGCGAAGCATTACTCAGTTGGCACGCACGGAGGGGCATGTTATAGGATCAACTGATACTGCTGTTGTATGCTGTGCAAGCGCATCAGCAGCCACTGGATATATTGGTGATACACCTGGGAGAAAATGATCTGGGAACACTTAAAGGGGTGGAATTAATGCTTCGAACTAGGAGGGACCTGATGCAGGTCCTGGGAATTTTTCCAGGGGTTAACATTGTCTGGTTGAATATGCTTCCATGTCGGGAATGGTCAGGAGCCATAAATCCCACCAGGGTGGACAAAACCAGGAAGTATGTGAACAGGGAGGTGGCCAAATTCTTGTTGTCCTGGGGGGCAGTAATTTCACATCCTGGTATAGTCTATGGGGCACTGGAGTTGTTTCAGGAGGATGGGGTGCACCTGTCAGACTCAGGTGCTGCCATATTTTTGGCTGATGTAAAAGAAGGTATTGGGAGATGTTTGGGAACTCGGCTGGCTGTGGGGAGAAGGCAGCCAAGCTAATGGCTGGCACCTCCTTGTGGTGGATGTTCAGTGCAGGTACTCCATAAATTAAGGCACAGAAGAATGGATAAATGGCTTGGGAAAGGAATTGAGGAGAAGTGCTTGGTATCTGAGCGAGCTGGGGGCAGTTAGGGACTCCTCTGATTGGTATGGCAGGGAGCCAACCCCCTATCATTATAGTCCACCTTAACCCCTCCTACCAGGGGGTGGGGGTTGGTAAGATCCCAGCAAGGGAATTGCTGGAGGGACCTGGATGAAAAGGTGGGGCAAGCTGGAGGAAGCACCACCCCATCCACCCTGAAATTGGCTGGAATGGGAGGTTCCTGGCAGTGGATCTGCTGGAGGGACATGAGTGGAAAGGGGGAGCTGGTAAAATCACTCAGCGCTCTCTTCCCCCCCCCCCACCCATTAATTGTGGGGGTTCACCTGCACTGCACATTTTATCTGCTGGGTTAGTCCGAGACATCTAATAAAGTTGCGGCCTGATTAAACCTGTATCTAATGTCTCCTGTCATTCTTTTGGCATAGCCAGATAATCACTGCCCTGCACTTTGAGCAGGGGGGGGTGTCAGGCTGGCCCAGAGAAGAGGGCAATGCTTTCTGGCTTGCGGGGAGGAGAGACGTAAAACTACTGGAAAAGCAGTCAGTGTGGTGAATGACTCACCACATAGGAATGAGGGGTTTAAAAAGGTCACCCTGTTTAGAGCAGGTTACGCAGCACCCACCCATAGGGTTACCATTCGTCCGGATTTACCCGGACATGTCCTCCTTTTGTGTGCTAAAAATAGCGTCCGGGGGGAATTTGTAAAGCACTCACAATGTCCGGGATTAGCAGAGCGAGCGGCTGGGAGGGCTGCAGGGAAGTCCCGGGCTGGACTCGGGAGCAGCTGTAGAGGAGCCGGATCCGCCCTGCATTCTGAGCCGGCAGCTCCCTTGCAGCCCAGTCCAACAGCACTGTGCAGGGCCAGACCGGGTTTTGTTGTGCAGGGCCAGGGACCGGGTTTTGTTGTGCTGGGGAGCTCAGCCACGTGTCCGGCTTGGCTGCACAGAGCCCAACACCCTGTTCTGAGCAGCAGGGTAAGGGGGACCGGGGGCAGGAAGGTTCTGGAGGTGGCAGTCAAGAAACGGGGGGGGGGGCTTTTTGGGGGGAGTGGAGAAAGTTTTGGGCAGTCAGGGTACAGGTAGGGGGTAGGGTCCTGGG